TCATCTAGTGCATCTGGCCACTGATCACATGTGCCAAAAAACTTCCCCGTCACCCTCAGTTTTTCTCTTCACACTTGATTCTTTCTGTAGTCCAAGCACTAAGTGCTCTCACTTTCTAAAAACATCAGAGTATATCACTAAAGCAGACTTAATCAAATACTTAAAAACCAAAACCCAATTAATAATAAATAACATAAGGTATATGAACATAAGCTGATTTCCTGAAACACACCTGTTCCACATCATAAACATCTATATATAAGCATGTTGTTTTTCCAACATTTACTTAAGGTATTTTGCATTAATAGCAAAGGTACAGCACTACAAAAAATGACTGAGATTTTTTAAAATTAAAAGTGAGATTAGCTAAAATTCAGCAACTGATGAGTGCTAGGTGATGTGAACAAGAAGCAGCAGTACAAGTTTAGTTAGTTACAAAACCCACTAATATACCAGCAAGAAGAAACATGATAAAAGAAAATATTAAGACTGCATGCTAATTTCAGTCATCATACAAGCCTATATATTTGCCTTCTGTACATGCTAACTGCAGAATAGACCTTATTAAGTAATAAATGAGCCAGACAATATAACAGACACACAAACAGTGGCTTTGAAGGAGGGCATGCACTTGCACAATTCCAGTAGTCCCACATCAATATCATGATACACCAAAATCTATGACAGAGCTTTAAATACAAAATATGCAGTGAAACTGCTAACACAAGCCTCTGTCTTTCCACTGACATATAAAAATTATTTTATGGATGTATATCTGAGTAAGGTACAAAGACTTGCTATTTTTGTAGTTTTGATCAGTGCACCATATCTTTTCTTTCTCTTGAATGTTCTCAGATCAAAAAGTCTGCTACCACTGATGAACATTTACTGGGCAAATACTAAGTATAATTTATAATGCACATTCCTGATGAAGGTTGGTTTTGATTTGCTAAAGTACAGTCAAGCATTTTGGGTATGGTGCCATGGCATAACAGTTTTATTTAGCACACATTTGAGGTAACTAACATAATTTATTAATGGAGGAAAGACAAGATTTGTAATGTTAGAATTTTTCCTGGAATTAGTGTACTTCAGAAAGAAGAGACAGTAAAAAAGCAGTTTATCACATTATGAAGCAGACTGCTCTACTGTTGGACACTATTACCAAAATGGCCCATAAATTACACAGTTGTGGTAAGTTACAGTAGAGAAACGTTAACAGAATTTGTTTAGTGTAAACTTTGATCTCATATCTCACTTCCGACTTTATCATTCTTTAGGGATAATCCTTTTATTAATGAACGACAAAGTCACACACAAGCTCAATCTAAAATGCACCTGGTAAGATCTCTATTCTTCAACATATTAACAGTTTAGTGCTAGCCACATCTTTTACAGATAAATGACTACAAAACTTCTTAAAGAGCTTTTAAAATGTGAGTTGGTAGGATGACAATTTAACTTTTTACACAACAAAAAGGACACTTTCACATTATGGAATGTACCTTTCCATACATCTATGAGAGGGAGCTGGAGAAAGAATATTGAGGGACTACATATTTGGGAGTAAGAACAAAAGCTCATTGCATTGTAATTCCCAAGCTATAGTTTTAGCTGGTGCATGCATTTTAAATCACATTGAAGGCTGCTCAGGTGCGGGATGCTAGAAATAGTCCTGATCACGTTGAAGTTGGTGGTACAAGATAACTCCATTGATCATAATACCTCACAATTGATGATATGGGTAAGACAATCATTTGTGCTGCATTTGTAGCTATTACAAAAAAACCCAACAAAACAAAACCTACGGTAAAATGTGTGTGTTTTGCAAAGTTCTCCAAAGTCAAGAAATGTAAATCTAAATTGTGGTCAAAAGCACATAACATTTCTCAAGAAAACACCTGAAGACTTTTTAGTATGAGGAACATTTTAAGTCTACTCTTAAAAGTGTTTAGATGATTTCAAGCATCCAAGGTCTCTTGCTGAGGCACAGCCCTGCCAGATGCAATGACCTGAACTGAGAGTTGCCAGGCTCACAGAAAACACAATTCCTGGTCAGCATTTCATGTAATCAATATCCAAAATCTGATCCAAAATTTTCCTGCCTTCAGCACCTTTAATTATTCTTCTCCCTTGCAGAAGGCAGCAAGTCAGGAGATTATTTATTGAAAGACCTGTGAAATATTTTCTCATAGACAATGTTAGTCATGCTGTGGGTTCCTTTTTAGGCTTTAACATGGAGTCACAAGCCTTTTTGCCTGCTGATAATTTTTTTTTTATACGTTTGACTAAACATAAGAAGATCAATAAAAATGTATTTGTTCTTGCAGTGGCATCTCACAATGGCATAAATAACTCTTGTAAGTGAAGTCATGTGACTGAGTCAAATGCAGCAGATAGAAACACATATTCCTTTGCATTTATAAACACTGTTTTCTGACAATCCCATCCCTTTTGTCCATGACAACTTTGGTCAAAACATCCATTTTATTAATAAATGTGGAGGTAAATTGAGTAATTAATGGTTCTTCCTGCCTGCTTATTGAAATGATTGATTTAGAAAATAAGCCTTGGTTGAAAGACATAAGGTATATGGCAGTACTTGAATTTAAATGTCATTGTTCCTCCACTAGCCTAAGCATTTCTTTTGCCTAAGAATACAGAAACTGCTCTTATTTTTTTGTCACAGAAAAATTATTCAGTCAGAACAGTTAGAAATAAAAACTTATTACCTTCCTTCTTCCTTTCATTAAATTCCCCTATGGATTAAGAACTGCCATTGTATCTTGTCTTTAGCTGTTTTATCCTCAAAAAGACTGAGAAAAATCTAGCAGATTATCAATGTTGAGCTGTTTGAAAGAGCTAGAAATACTGTTCTATTATCACAGCAGGAATTTGCAAAGTGGTGAGTTCATCACAGGATGCACAGACATTCTCCTGGAAGGTAGGATAAAGGCTGTACCTGAAACTCAAAGCCAGTGAATCCTAATATTGAATTGGTGCCAGGTCATGTTTTGCCAGACAAAGATATTAAAAATGTAATGCCAGTACTAACGAGAGATTTGGCACACAAAACATGAGGAATGTTACAGATTGTGCTGACAGTGTGACACTATGTTTTCCTGGATGTAATCTGGGTATCATGAGAGTAAGCTTGGAGCACTAATGAGAAGAATGATATTGAACTGGAAGAGCTGCTAAATATGCAGTAGCCACAGGGTTCCTGGCGTTAACTGGAACTAAAATGAAAACTGTAATACTGAAAGTAACAGAGGGTAAACTAGGCAGAAATACAGAAGGAGAGAATCTCAGCAGGCAAAACTTGTTTCTGGTACCATGCTTGCCAGGACATAAAGGGCTTTTCTAATCATAGTCTTTTTATCACTGAAGTACTGTTAAAGAGGAGCATGAAGCTCGAGTTTAAAGGGACACATATTATTTCAGGGTATAAATGAGTTTTGCAACTGGCTGGAGGAAGCAATGTATAAAAGTTGAACAGGAAACCTCTTTAGGTTCAAGAAGTAAAATACATGTTGAACATACAAAGATCATCTTATCTCTGAGGCTCCTGGTTTTTTGCTATTGCTATTGTTGATTTTTGTTGGCCTCCTATTTACATCAGCTACAGCTAATGAGCCTCATATGAAATGCATATAAAATTGCTCGACATTGGATTCTTCTTTGACCATCTCTGTCGGAATTCTTGTCATCTGCACTACAGGTCTAGAAACTTACCATCTCTTGCAGGAGACATGCACCCAATTAACTCTGCCAGCCAACAAAATCTGTGAGTGTGCTGGATATTCCTTATTGAGGCAAAAATCATAAATATATATAGACATCGAAAAAGAAACGCATTATTGTCGAGAAAGAACTGCCCTGTTACCATCACTGGAACTCTAAACAGAGTGCTATCTAATTTGTTATCTCTTCAGCATGCTAATGAATGTCCTTGTTCCACAATTCTCAGTTGCTTCCAGTGTTTCCTCTGGTATCCTGGCTCCTGTTAATCTGCTAACATCTTCAATTACCAGGCTATTAACCACTTATTTTATATATAAAATTCACAATTGAAATTATACTTAATTGTTCCAATTCTATGAAAGGAAAAGATACACAAGAAAACAGCAGACAAGCAGTTCTTTGTCTTTGAGAGTATGGTAACAGAGGCAATTTGGACACAGTAACTCTGATATTATGACTTTGCCCCAGCTGTCATTTATTTCCACTATACTCCAGATTCACACTCTCCACAGGAATGCATAGAGGAAAGTTTTAACATGGAGCGGACTTACCCCTTTTCCTTCCCCAGTACAATACAGTTTAATGCTATCAATACTTGGAGAGAATGCCTAACTCAGTTTGTCTTGTATTGACATACAGTACAGGGGGAAAAAAAGTAAAGAAAATTTAACCCATGAAGAAGAAGGTCTACTCCACACAAAGTCCTCCTCTACTCTTTACCTGAAACATGGAAACACAGTGAAGAAATCATAGAGTGGCCTTTTTTTTTCTTCTCCTCCAATGTCAAGTATAAGGATGCCAAAAATAAACCAGCATGTTCTTCTGAATTCAGAACTATGTCCACCACATCAAGCAGAAATTACTTCTTACTTTTAGTAACACGGAACTGATTTTTGGATGCACTTGAAAAACTGACTGCAAATGAAGATTATTATTTTTTTTCTTTAAAGATTAAAATAATGATATTAGACTAAACTAATACATCACTGTTTGCCCGTAACTGTCGTGCTTTGGAAAACAGTACTGAAAAAAGTAAGTTACCATCCATAGCAACTACTACTATCTGTTTCTCCCTGCTATATTGTACTTAAACGTATTTAATTCAGCCTTTAAAATAGGCACACAAAGGAGTAAATCTAACCTCCATTCAGTACAAGGATTAAACCCAGGAAATAATTTAATAAAACTCTACAAGAAAAACGACTTAGCCGTTGAGGACAATACAGCACTAATGTGTTTCATAACCAATGTCTTACCAACTGTAAGAGGGTCAGTGCACATGTCACTTCTGTTCTCCTTCCATGCCAGCAGGTACTTGAGGCTGACGGGATCTTCTGCTTCTATATGGCTGTTAAATGCCACCGTCAGTTTATGAGCCTTCGCAATACCACAGTAAGTCTTTGTTTCATCCACTAAGGGCAAATTATTTAAAGTTTTTGCAGCCTCAGAAGCCTGACTGAAATATTTAAGAGCTTCATTATAGTTCCCCTAGCAAAGAAGAGAAAAAAGAAAAGAATTGTAAAAACTACTTGTAGTCACCTTATTTTACCTTGACATTAGGGCCTGCTCCTCTGGCACCTCAGAGATGCTGCAGCTGAGAGGCCAGCACACAGAATGACTCATGGCGTGGTATTAAGCAGATCACTCTCCCTTGCTGTTTCCTAACCTCCAAAATCCAGATAATGCTGCTCATATCCTTCTCAGGAACTGAATTGTTTTTTGTTTGTCTGTGTAGTATTTTGAACTTACAGATCTAAGTATATAAATGCTAAGTATTAATACTGATTCCAGCCAAGCCTTTTAGAAATTATCGAGATTGTTTCATAAAGTTTAACATCTCTGTGGGAGGAAAGGTCCTAATTTACTATTGTGATACTAAATTTTAGAAAATAAATCTTAAAAATGGGAAAAAGAGGATAATGAAATGATGGACCTAAAGCACGGGAAAGAACAGAAATTAAAACCTACAGGTTTATGGGGGAAGAAAGGGTATACCAAAACCCAGGGATATTCCTAACCACAAAAAGAGAAACAGTAGGAGAAATATAAGCTAACTGTTGCTAAATAGAAAACCCAAATAATTTATCTCTTTATCCTGCAGAATACAGAAATCCAACATTCATGAATTCAGTAAAAAGGAGTATAAACTACAGCAGATAATACATTAAGAGGAATTAACAAAAGTATGACAAGAACTATTTTTTTATGTGAGAGATAGAAAGAAAACTCCTCAACTTCTTGACCAAAGAGGAATAAAGAGAAAACTAGGGAAAATCATGATAGGCTGAAGGGTACTGCTGAAAAGCTAAAATATTTCTCAGTATATTTCTTCATCTTTTGCATATTTCTTCTTTGCCATGAAGCTACTTTGAGTTACCATCAGAAATGGAGTCAAAAGAAGAGTTGCAAGAGCAAGCTTCTAATTTAAAAAGTAGCATACCACCAGACCTAAACAGAGCATAAATAAAAGATTTGAAAAATCTAAAGACAAAGAGATTGAATTGCTGGGAAATAAATAACATTTCTCTTTAAAACTAGGTGGTATAATCCAGGCTCGAAAGGTAGTACCATTTTGTGTTGGTATTATACGTGGCAGCATGCAATACCTTTATGCTCTAGTATCAGTACTGTCTAATGTTTAATTATTATAGAAAAATAATCAGATTACAATTTTGCCAAAATTGTTGAAAAAGGTAAAAAAGGAAGAGTTTTGCAAGGCTTTGAGGAATTCAAAGGGACCTAATAATACTACCTGAGTGGTTATGTGATAGCAAATGAATTTAACTTTTTAGAAAATGAGAAGTAATCCGTACTGCCTGAATTATTTGTAACTTTGAGTGGATCCTAATTAACTCAGGCTCAGGAAGGTGGCCTTGAAATAACATGGGCAGCTCTGCAGTGGCTTCTCCTAAATGCAAACCAGCTCTAATATCTAGTAAGGTCAAACAAAATATTAGGATGCATCAAGAATGCACTGGAGAAAGCTAGAGTAGATACAATCCATGTAAATAAAGAGCATATTAATGAAACTGGACAAAGTAATATGTCAAACAGCAAATATAAAACAGGAATAGACTGAAAATTGCTACCAACTACAATAGAAGAATAGGCATGAATTGAATATAACTGAAGAGCAAGAAATGTAAAAATAATTACAGATAGCTCTCCTCTGGATCGTTTATGGTGTCAATCTTGATCACAAGCCTACTAAGAAAAAAGTTGGAGTTCCTTGTGAAAAAAAAAAAATCAACAAACAAGACAAGGCAAAAAAAGTTCCTCCTGGGAGCAAGTCATTATGGAACTCTTCGTTCTTTACCTTACTCTGAAGGAATTAGTTCTGGCTGTTGTCAGAGCTAGACAAACTTCTTGTGGAAGTTTCTATATGTCTATCATTAACATTAATTATAGCCTGCCTGGTCCCTGGAAGATGCCTTCCATTACTCCCATTGGTGTGAAATTCTGCTGCCCTGGTGGCACAAACTTCCTGACTGAAAACATTTTCAGAGCTGTCTTATCCTTTCACTCTCAGCTTGATTTAGTAAGATTGAAATTCCTTCCTGCATAGAGTGTAGAAACCAGGAGGAGACACTCCAGTTGATACCTGTTGCACTTAATACCACTTTTTGGGATCAAAATTTGTATAACAGCTAAAATGTGCCTGTAATTAAAAAAGGAGAAGAGTAATAGAAATACAGGTAGTCTTTAGGCTTTGTTTAATATAGCAGGGGAGCAGAATTAGGCCTATTAGGACACAGCAATGAATAAAGAACAATAGGCAGTAGGATAACAGACAAAAAGCAGAAACTTCTACCTACCATACTCATGAGAACTATAATAGGTTAAGTGATGCAATTAGTGAGAGGAATGCAGCAAATCAGACTACGAAACTTGAGAAAAGTGAAGTGAGAAATGACAGAGTGAGCCATGCTAACTCCATCAGAGTTTGCATGTTAAGCAAGCAACCTGCTTAACAAACTGGGAGAAATTAGACCCAATATTTGCGCATAATACCAACCCAGACATTTTAGGAAACAAGAAACATACGGGTAAAACAATCATGACTAGAAAGCAGGAACTGAATGTACAGCATTAAAGAAAGACAGTGATGGTGATGGAATAGTGAGATGACATAACTGTAAAGATACAGCAACAGTGTGGACAGAGCAAAGTGAATTTGGTCCAAGTCACTTTGGGAAGAACAGTGAAAGTTATATCCCCGGTTTACTAAAGGTCCCCAAGGATAGATCTGGATATAAATAGAGATATCTTTAATTTGATGAGGAGGACAACACTACTGCAAATTGTATCACCAGGGGAAGTACTGAGTTGAATAAAAATACCCTAATAATGACTTGGAGAATACTGGCGATGACAGCTGACACCAAGCAGGCAGTGATCCAAGGGAGGAAATGTTAATTTAGACTCAGTTTTGGTAAACATTGCTGACCTTGCAGAAAAAATGGTATAGAAAATAGGTAATTGTAAAACTTCAAGAGATTTTTTTTTTTAATGTTTAAATTACATATTTTATGTAAGTTAATAAGATTAAGTCACTACATTTCTTCCCTTCTACACCACAACCCCAGTTCAAGGCAGCAAATTCTGAACTGAGAAAGAGAATTTAGAGAATAAACAAAAAGAGGTTAATTCTTAAAATATCAGTTCTCAATTGACTGTTAGCAATGGTGGCAGAAGCAGTGAAATATAGTAGTTAAACACAATTCGGTTAATTATTTTTCAAATTTGGAGTAGAATAATTAAGCACAGTGTCTCATCACCCTACTTTCTTCTAAGATTCATATCCATTTTAAAGTTACTTCAGCAAGTTCTCAAAGACTTTAAAACAGTTTTCAATGGGAAATTCAGCATTTGTGTTAAGAACATATGTAAACAGAAAGCTCTCAGGCTAATTTAGAGATTACAGAGTAAGAAATTTTTCTACTGCTTATGAAACAAAAACAGGCAAGTAACTTTGGTAGAGGGAGGTCTCTGTAAGAGGAATCCAGAACAAAAAGAAGAAAAAGGCATTTGGGGGTAGTGTAAGTGAAAAGGGGCAAGTAGCCTATTTAATATATTTCACATAGAAAAGAAATTCGGACCACAAAAACAGTCAACAGAAGTTAGAAAGGGTGATTTTGAAAGGGTATTTCTATTTTTAGTTTGTTCATAATGAAAGTGTTTCCTAATTTCCACACTGCCCAGTCTGCAGAACGAATTATTTTTATTACTTACTGTATCTAAATAATTTCATGTAGCATTTCAGCTCTAAAATAGGTGTTAAAGGGCTCAACGCGAATCTTTCACTTCTGCAGTAATGTTTTTAACCCTTCTGATTTAAAAAACCAAGTGCTACTGCAGTGCAAGTCCTGCATCTCTAGATGAGGTGAGGGACAGAGTAAGCATGGAAACCGCTACCCAGACAGGCAGCCAACAACTGCTGCCGTTGCAGGGTCCACCCCAGAGGAACAACTCAGAGACTGGCACATGGGTATAGAAAGAAGCACTTCAAAAGACCTCAGAAACTATGATAAAGGGAGTTTCTTAATCACCCTTAGCTTAATATTGCCTGTGACTGCCTATCTATTGATTTAAACAGGCCAAATCAAAGCCATCAAGCTGGGTGGAGGCATATAGAAGAGAAAGCCCTTCCACCACCAACACAGACCTTTGCCAAACTATCTGCTGCTAGCACCCATTTCATAAATTTGCCTGAGAAAATGTAGAGAAGAAAAAAATCAAGCTAAGATTAAAAACTGCTTATTAGTATGCGATATAGTATACATTCATTTTTAAAAAGCACGGATTTCAACGTATAGTACAATAAAATTTCATTTGCTTTAACTGATGACTCTTTATGGGCATATGCGGCCCCAGCGGTGATTTGGATGCAGATTTTTCACAACACTGGAAGTCTGTCATGATCTGAATTTGGAGTTTTTATTCACCCATTCTAGAACAAAACTCTATGTGTTAAATATGGTGTGAAATTTTCACCTTTCCCAAAAAGGCACATTTTATTTAGTCACACAGTATCTTCTCCTTTAGCAACTTTTGTAAGATACAATACCTGGATCAAATCCTTCTGGGTCATCTTATATGCAAAACCAGATTTTTACCATGTATTAAACCCAATTGTTTGACATCATTACTACAACCAGTACTTACTCTTTCATTGTAAATATTCCCAAGTAATACACATGCATCCACCAGGCTTTGGCTTAGATGAGCATTCTCAGCAGCCTTCATAAACTCTCCCAGGCACTTAATAGTTTCATCCACTTTTCCCTGACTGAAGCAAAGGACAGGGACAGAATTAAATATTCACTCAGATGGCTTCTCCAAATGCTGAAGATCTATGCCCCTGTTCTGAAGTAACTTTACTTTGTGATGACCCATCCATGACTGGAGTTTATTTCCAAAACAGTTGTCTAGGCACTACCTGTGCTGAGACCAATGAGACTAGACCACACAGAACTTCTGAGGGCAGAACTGGATCCTTTGAGTGAAATAAACCAAAATTCTGCTTCAGAATATTGTGCCATATTTTAAGGCCAAGAATGAAAATGCAGATGATGATTTTACAGGGGTTTTGGAGTTTCCATTATTTCAATATTTTTTCTGCTGAGCAGCTGATAACATTTTCAATACGGTTGGACCTCACATCCTGATGAAACAGGGGAATGAGGTAAGAAGGCTAGTTTTTCAGCAAGACTTCTTGTGCTCCTGTCATTCAGAGATGCCATTTCTTGCTCTAGAACCCTGGCGGTGCGGCAGCAGCTCCATAATGGTGCTGCCTCTTAGTTCCGGGGACGATAGCCTTTCCCTGAGTGTAATGCTGCACTTTGTCTGGGTGGACCAAAGGTTGCTACAGTCACACAGGCAAACCTATAAGCTGTGGATTGCAGGTGTCACCCCCCAAATCCCAGTGAGATCAGAGCAACCTGAGGTCACAGCTGAACCTAAGTTGAAAATTGGTTAATGTACTTTGGCAATAACATTTGCAGATTTCCTTTTTTTTAATAAAGCCAGTCATATTAACAATATAAGATCTCTGCAGTATGATTACAAGATATAAGATAGACATCTGGGTTTGCTTGTGAGTGAGGCACTGCGCTCTTTTTCCCTTTAAGGCTGAAGTGTTACTGCAGCTGACCTCAATATTAGCCATGAACTTGAGTCACTAATGTAGGAGTGTAGCATGCTAAATGTCAAACCACCAAGCAAGACAGAAAATCCAGTCTTAATTAAGAAACTCACAGAAATAGAAGTTCCTGTAGGTGATAAAGAATTGTGATTTATTTTCTCACCATTTTCAAACACCTTCAAGTTATATTCCTGCAGCAAATGACTGACTGGGGTTTATTTACATTACAGTTTTTATTATAAACTGGTATTAGGGATATGTGCTTTCAAAATCTGGCAGAAGTCTGCAATTCCCTGTCTTATGATATCAGAGTAATTATAACAGGGTAGTGCCTGCCACGGAACAGGAAACACAGCAAAGCATGCCTTCATATTTACAATATTGCGGTGATTATCTGTATGTGACAGTGATGAGCTAGATTGCTACAAAAGGATGCTAAAACACTGAAAACTAACATGCTTGAAATGTTCAACTATATGCTACTGTAAAGCTTAGTTGTCAATAAGCAGAGCTGGATTAACTAAAGTTTCCTAATTTAAGTATTTTTATATCATGAGAATATTAAATATACTCTACTGTAAACATTTGCCACATGTCAAAAGGCTTCTAAATGAATTAGAAACAAAATTTTTTTAAACCTATTTTTTTCTCCTAAGAAGAGAAAATCAAATGTTTCCCCACAGAAATACAGCATATGATTTATATAAGTTAAAGGACAAGGTTAAAGTGTTAGACAAATATTAATTCCAGTTTTTCTAGTTTTCTATATGCAGTGCACAGGTGCAACTTGAAGAGCATATTATATGGTATAATCATTAAATCCATTCAACCAGACCTTTGAGAGTTAAAAACATATATTCTGAGGAAAAGGACTCCTCGGTCCAAGGAATTAGAATGAAACAGTGCAGAATATTTGTGTATCAAGGTGATTCCAGTTTCCAATTGGGAAAACAGGACTGTTAACACCCACATCCCCTGACAACTGTCCAATTATGTATATCACACTTGGCCTACTGTTTGCAGTAGAAGTAATCAATAAAGGATGTGGTTGAGTGAACATAGATTTTGGTTGAACCAATGCATGAAAACTTAATCATTTACTCAGAGTGGAGAAATCAAATAGAGCAGAGATGAAACAGCCACTAAGGGGTTTGTTGATTGTGCCACCAAGTTTGTGGGCTAGAGGCTGAAAGTAATAAAGCAAATGGAATCAGTGACAGGAGAAAATGTAAAAAGGTTTTCTTAATTTCATGAATTAATAGAAATGTTTTGATGTATTTTTGGCCATTTTTTATATTTCACATAAAAACCTATGCTCCACATATAGAAAATATGAAAATTGCTAGGGCATATAACCTCTTTCAGGCAAACAGAAATCAATTTGATACATATCAGAAGGATATTTCTCACTGTTAGGCCTTCACTTATGCCAACAAGCAATTGGTTGGTACAGTTTAACAATTTTTCAAAGGAAGTACTTTTAAAAGCACTACAGCTTGAGATATTTAAAGTATGCTAGAAGGATCACTGAAACACTTTATCCTGTACAAGACCTGATAACATGATAAACAGGTCTTTCCTACTCAAAGGGCTAATATTTTACAGTTCCTTCAAAAATCTACATGTTATTTTATACAGCCATATACTTTCTATCTCCTTAGACATCACCTTCCTAAATGTATAAAATGTAATTTCCTAAAGATATAGTCATTCATGATCCCACAGAACAGTTATGATGACTTCAGCAGAAGAGATTACATATCTACAGCAACTCATTTTCCAGTTTCATGCTAAAATGCCCTATGAGATTTTTACCCCTATTAGACTTTTATGAAAATATGCACCTTTTATAGGATTGCTCATGTGATTGAATTGGATGTATAAATCATGTGTCCACAAGAAGTCATTACCATGGTGGACACTGGCAGAATAAGTCAAGAACATGATGCTATTATGTCAGATTTTTCCCTGGAAAATGACATGCCTAAATGCACATGATAGAGAATTTCAGTTTCCGTGGTCTGTGGAAACATCTGCAGCAAAGCTTTCACAAAAAATTCCAAAGCCATAGATAAGTTCTGAGTGATTTGGGAGGGCTCAGCCACTTTCTTCAACATATCACAAGGCAATCAGTGCAAATTCTCACAGATGTTATGCTTATAATGCATTATTTTAGGGAAACAGTCATCTTTTCTTTGAAAGACATTATCCATCAAATTTAAAATGATTTGCATAAGTCTAGCCTAGATCAGGTAAAAATACAAGTAAAGAAAAAATCATCAAGCTCAGTATGGAGATTCTGTCACGAACAATAATTATTCATGCATTTATCCAATATTTTCTGCACAAGCTTGCCAAAAATTTGCTTGTTTGCTATACATCAGACAAGTAAATATCCAAAAGTTTGGTGTGAGAGTAAACAGAAACTTACAATGTTTTTTTTAACGGCTCTCTTTACATTGGCTTTTCAACCCATTTTTCTATGCCCTTTCCTCCTCCAAGGAAGAGTCAGTAGAGCTGGACCAGCATGATTTTGTTCATGAAAAATTCTGTTACTGAATTTTGAAAAGTAGGTTTGTGTGAAATATCCATCATACTGGGTTACAGAAAGCGTATTAGAGAGCATTACACAGCAAAAGGGAATTTATCTATAAGGACTGCTTAAGACAAAGACCACAGAATCACAGTATAGTTAAGGTTGGAAGGGATCTCTGGACATAATCTCCATCTGTCTTTCTCAGAGCAACTAAAGGAGGCCTGCGTCCAGTGAAGTTTTGAGTGACTTTTGAAGGATGGAGACTCCACAACCTGTTACAACATTCAACATGACAGTAATGTTTTTCTTCTTCTTGTGTTTAAATGGAATCTCATGTATTTCAGTTTTGTGCCCATGGCCTCTTGTCCTGTCACTGAACACCACTGAGAAGAGCCTGGCTCCCTCTTTACTGCTGCCTAAGAGGTACTGATAAGATCCCCCCCAGTCTTCTCTTCTATGGTCTGAACAGTCCTAGCTCCCTCAGCCCCTCCTCCTAGGACAGATGCTCCCAGTCCCTTAGTCATCCTTGGCAGCCCTTCGCTGGACTCACTCCACTATGTCCCTCTCTCTCTTGCACTGGGGAGCCCAGAATGGCACACAGCACTCCTGGGGTGACCTCACCAGTGCTGAGTAGAGGCAAAGGATCACCTCCCTCGACCTGCTCGCAATGCTCCGCCTAATGCAGCCCAGGATCTTGTTGGTCTCCTTTGCCATGAGTGTGCATTGCTGTCTCACGGGCAACTTGTCCGCCAGGAAACCCAGGTCCTTCTTTGCCAAGCTCCTTTCCATCCAGTCAGCCTGCAGCCTGGGCTGGTGCCTGGGGTTATCCGTCTCCATGTGCAGGACTTTGCATTTCTGAAGTTTCCTGGATCCTCTCTCAAAAACAGAAGCGATGCCTGCAACCTTCCAGTCCTCAGGAACCTCCCCTAGCTGCTGCAATCTTTCAAAGATAATCAAAAGCAGCCTTGCTTTGGGCAGCTCCCTCAAGATCCATTTCAAATGTTGCTTATGCTATTTTCTCACGTAAGAGATACTTTATGGTCTACTCAGCTATTTTTGCTGCTTGTGCTATAGTAAAAGTAATCATGGAATTTATCCATTTCTACTTAAAACAATGAATAAATGGGTTTTATGGAATGGCATCTCCCCATCTGTGAGACCTCCTTACAAAATTGTCCCATGAAGACAATGGATGAAAACATCCCAAGTCTTTATGACCTTCAGTCATAGAGTTCAAGCATTCAAGAACATGTAAGGCCCACATAAACAGATTTATACATCTTACCTGAGACTTTTTTAAAGGTTTTGTAGCATAAATCCAGAACTGTGGTCCTTTGAATTTTTGGTCAACTGAATGTCAGAATTCAGTTCTGATTCAACTCTAGTTGTCATTACTGAAACTTGGTGGCACAAATCCCATGACTGGAGTGTGGCTATTGATGGCTACAGGCTCTTCAGAAGGGACAGGCGAGGAAGGAGGGGTGGAGGGCTTGCCCTTTACATCAAGAAATGGATAGAGTGTGAAAAGCTGTCTCTGAAGAATAGCCACGAGCAGGTTGAAAGCTTATGGGTAAGAATTAGAGACCGAGGCAACAAAGGGAACTCTGTGGCTGGTGTCTACTACAGGCAGCCCGATCAAGGGGAGCCTAGTGACGAAACCTTCTTCCTTCAGCTGCAGGAGGCATCACACTTGCAGGCTCTGGTCCTGCTGGGGGCCTTCAACCACCCTGACATCTGCTGGAAAAGTAGCACAGTGAGCTGTAGGCAATCCAGGAGACTCCTGGAGTGCATTGAGGATAACTTCCTTAGCCGGGTAATAGATGGCCCTACCAGAGGAGATGTCATACTGGACCTGTTGGTCACCAACGCAAGTGAGCTAATCGGTGATGTCAAGATTAAAGGCAGCCTGGGCCGCAGTGATCATGCACTGGTGGAGTTTGCAGTCTTGAGGGATGTGGATCAGGTGAAGAGTAAATTCGGGACCCTGAATTTTAGGAAGGCAAACTTCCAGCTCGTCAAAGAGTCAGTCAATAGGACCCCCCGGGAAACTGCCCTCAGGGACAAGGGAGCAGAAGAGAGCTGGCAGATCTTTAAGGATGTTTTCCATATAGCGCAAGAGCTCTTGATCCCTGGGTGTAAGAAATCAGTAAAGGAAGGGAAGAGACCGACATGGCTGAGTTGGGATCTGCTGGTCAAACTAAAGGGCAAGAAGGAAGTGGAAGCAAGGACAGGTATCCTGGCAAGACTATAGGGACGCTGCTCAGTTGTGTAGGGATAGGGTCAGGAAGGCCAAGATGCAGCTGGAGCTGAACTTGGCAAGGGATACAAAGAATAATAAGGGCTTCTACAGGTATGTCAGCCAGAAAAGGAAAGTCAAAGAAAGTGTACCCGCCCAATGAACAAGACTGACAAATCGGTAACAATGGATGAGGAGAAGGCTGATGTACTCAACAATTTCTTTGCCTCAGTCTTCACTGGCAACCTCTCTTCCCATACCTCTCGAGTGGATGGACTGCAAGACAGGGAGTGGGGGAGCAAAGTCTCTCCCACTGTAAGAGAAGATCAGGTTTGTGACCACCTGAGGCCCCTGAACATATATAAGTCTATGGGACCTGACAAGATGCACCCCAGAGTCCTGAGGGAATTGGCTCATGTAGTTGCCAAGCCACTCTCCATGACTTTTGAAAAGTCATGGCAGTCAGGTGAAGTGCCAGGTGACTGGAGGAAGGGAAACATTGCAGCCATTTTTAAAAAGGGTAGAAAGGACGACTCTGGGAACTACCAACCTGTCAGCCTCACTTTTGTGCCTGGGAAGATAGTGACACAGATCCTCCTAGAAGCTATGCTAAGGCACATGGAGGACAGGGAGGTGATTTGAGACAGCAAGCATGGCTTCACCAAGGGCAAGTCCTGCCTGAAAAGCCTAGTGTCCTTCTATGATGGAGTGACTACACCAGTGGACAAGGGAAGAGCTACAGCTGTCACCTACCTGGACTTCTGTAAGGCCTTTGACACGGTCCCCCACAACATCCTTCTCTCTGAATGGGCGAGACATGGATTTGATGAGTGGACTGCTCAGTGGATGAGGTATTGGTTGGTTGGATGGTTGCATCCAGAGGGTAGTGGTCAATGGCTCAATGTCCAGATGGAGATTGGTGACAAGTGATGTCCCTCAGGGGTCCATATTGGGACCAGTACTGTTCAATATCTTCATCAATGAGACAGACAGCAGGATTGAGTGCACCCTCAGCAAGTTTGCAGATGACACCAAGCTGGGTGGTGTGGTTGACATGCCTGAGTGATGGGATGCCATCCAGAGGGACCTGGACAAGCTGGAGAAGTGGGCTCGTGAACCTTCTGAGGTTCAACAAGGCCAGGTGCAAAGTCCTGCACCTGGGTTGGGGTAAGCCCCAGTATCAATACAGGCTGGAGGATGAAGGGACTAAGAGCAGCGCTGCAGAGAAGGACTTTGGGGTACTCGTGGATGAAAAGCTGGACATGAGCTGGCAGTGTGTGCTCACAGCCCAGAAAGCCAACAATATCCTGGGCTGCATCAAAAGAAGCACGGCCAGCAGGTCAAGGGGGGTGATTCTGCCCCTCTACTCTGCTCTGGTGAGACCCCACCTGGCGTACTGCATCCAGCTCTGGAGTTCTCAGCACAAGAAGGACATGGACCTGTTGAGCGGGTCCAGAGGAAGGCCACAAAAATGATCCGAGGGCTGGAGCACCTCTCCTACAAGGAAAGGCTGAGAGAGTTGGGATTGGGCCTGGGGAAGAGAAGGCTGAAGGAGACCTTACTGCAGCCTTTCAATACTTAAAGGGGGCTTATAAAAAAGATGGGAACAAACTTTTTAGTAGGGCCTGTTGCAATAGGACAAGGGGTAATGGTTTTAAACTAAAAGAGGGTACATTTAGACTGGATATAAGGGAGAAATTTTCTATGATGAGAGTAGTGAAACACTGGAATAGGTTGCCCAGAAGAGGTGGTAGATGCCCCACCCCGGAAACATTCAAGGTCAGGTTGGACGGGCCTCTGAGCAATGTGGTCTAGTTGAAGATGTCCCTGCTCACTGCAGGGGCGTTGGACTAGATGACCTTTAAAGGTCCCTTCCAACACAAACGATTCTATGATTCTATGATTCTATGATTCATAGGTGCCCAGACTTTTCTACATAAAAGTTTCTCAAATGGCTGAAAGGTCCTGAGAATCATCATGATAATTTACAGGGCTGAGGAGTTTATGCCTATCACGTACCTAAAGCTCTTCAAAGCAGGCACATGTGTAAGTTGTTTAATTTGGTTAACGGTCTCAGGGCATAACTACCAGTTGGGTTTTATACAAAATACCACAGCTGCCATTTTCCAGAGGAAGGGTTTATGGTTGTGTCTTTACCTGTGCAACAGATCAGCAGTTAAATCCCTGATCCTAGACATAAGAGTGAGTTTCTTCTTCACTTGAATCAATCAAAACGTTCCTCTCCTAGGAGAATGCCTTAAATACTAAACTGGGGAGTCTTATTGCTAATTTCCCCTCTCATTTCTCCTTACCTACTGTTTTTCCTCTTTTTCAAATTGCAACAACCGGAAAGCAGTGAGACTGTCTATTCCCTGATAGCCAGAGAACACTCCCAGACAGTGTGGAGTACAGATTTGACACACAGGAAAATCACTAGCCACTCCTTCTTCAACTCTGCTTTTAAGAAAAGAATTTGCACTGCCATGGTCTTTCAGATGAAGGTTTTAGAACCCTGACTTCAGAAGGATCTCCAAATCTTTAACTTCAGAGTAAATAAGTGCATGTGCTGTCATTCCAGAATGCCTAAATTACAGAGAGAGGAAATTAACATACACGGTTTTCTAGGAAAAACCTCTTGGCTATCGTAGGCCACCCTCTACCCAGACTGCTGCTTTTTGTGAATGCAAGGATGAATACTACTGAGAGCTCAGACACCCTTACACTCAACGCAAAGTCACTCATTGTAACAGCTGGTGTCCCAGCAACTAAATCTTTCTCAGTTAGGCTTAAGACAGTTTTGAAAATGGGACCTGGTATTCTAAGTCTGTTCTGTGGCTTTTTGAACATCTCATCTCATGTGAATTACATATCAGAGAGCTGAAAAGAACTGTGGTTGTGGCTGGTCCCTATATGCTCTGAAAGGCCAAGAAGCAAGGCATCTAACTCAAATGGGAGAATTTGCTCTGCACAGTGAAATAAACCCGATGACAAGTCCTCCTCCATAAACAATTTGCCAAACTCTGTCATGCATGATATGCACTGAAGTCCCCAAATGTAGGATGAATCAAGGATAAGCTGCAACCTTCACTTTAATCTTTTCCTACTTCATATGATAATTACATCAGACTACTTTATGTCAAAATTATTTGTGTAAGAAGTTGAAGTAGTTTCAAACTAATTCACCTGGAAGAAGATTTTAATGCCAGATGCTGAAACAAAAACATTGAAGACAAGCATCTTATGTCCAACAAATTTATATATAGTTACACATGCACAAACCAGAAATGCCTCTACAGAAGAAATCAGTGCAATAAATGGAAGCTTACAGTTCAGAAAAGATTATGCTGAGACACCTACTGAAGCTTGCTACATTCTTCAAGTTTTTCTGTCTTTTTAACTTGGAAAATATGCCTGGATTTCTACTTTCCAGTAAGGTCCCTCCAACCTTGTTGAAAAAAAAATTAAAAAGCCTCCCAACTGTGGGGAAAAAAGGACATATTATAGTTTACAGGTAAAGAAAAGCTTGGATCATACACTTTGAAAAATGTGTACCAGTTTAAAATAACTTTCGATAGAAGGGTCACTTACTGCAAGAAGGGCACTGCTTAAAATTTAAGCAGTCAGTAATGGGAAGCGACAGACCTCTACCAATTTAAGTCTTTTACAGTTGAATGAATCTGCACTGACAGCCAGACAAGGATGTGCTAACCTACCTTACCAGGATCTTGGTGATAGCTGCATATGCTCTGCCTAGGCCAGCAGAATCACAAAGTGCTGTGAAGATTTTTACAGAGGTGTTCAAAATCTGTCAAACAGGAAAATAAAACCCAATAAATACAATGCTAAGAATTTCCATCTTTTTTTTTTTTTTGCAGTCTCTATCTCCATATGAAACAGAAAATTAAAGTTTTCCCACCTGTACGTTTCTCCTTTAATTAGCTGTAATGGGACTGGGGTTTTGATCATTACTTATAGTTGTTTGAAACTACTCAATAATTCCAAATTAAAAAGATACAACTTGTATTTAAATCCTTGTATTTTGGCACTTGGTAAAACCCAAAGAGATATTACCTGCTTTGCATTATAAATTTCCTTATCCATAATTTAAAAGATTTTAAGAATTTTTATGTGCTTTTATGAATTTCTGTTAATCAATACCTTAAGACAGTATCCTTTGCATTCATAGTGTGCGATACACTGATATACAACTTAATACTATTTTTCTTTTTTTAAACTGTCACTATGACAACTTTCCTTAGTACAACTCAGATGCTCAAAAAGCGAATAAATTACAGGTTATAAATTTAAACTATGTTGGTTTAAAATAGTGGAGACAATTTCGTTATTTTTATGACTAATTATTCACACACACAGACAATTTGTTAACATTCATTTGGAATGTACTGTATTATCACAACCCCTCCCATAACCGAAGGCTTACAGCTGCTGCATAAAAATGTATGATCTTAATTTAATTTAACACTGACATCACCTGTATTGCATAATCTCTCTTTTCATCGTTTTTTTTTTCCAATGGTGATGACGGGAGAGTGCATATAAAATTAAATCCTATTCTTTCCTCCCTCCTCTTTGTTGCTTGACCCAACCTATTACACACATGAGAAAACAGGAAATCTCCAAAGACTATCTATGGAAATCCTTTTTGCACATTTCCAAGAAAGGAGTGGTGAATGTCATTTACCAGCTCTGAAGGGGGATGGGAGATGCCCAGGGACATACGGCATGCCCCAAGATGCCTATTTATATTGAGGTAAAAGATAGGGCATTTGCTATTAAGACTGCATCCCCTGTCATCGGCAAAGTGCATGGTCCAAAGGAAGACAACTTGTGTGTGTTAATGCTGTGGATGTCACTATTTCTATCACTGTTTCCATTACACAGATTTCCTAATTCTTGAAGGAGTTTTACTACATGCAGGAGTATCCCTGGACAAGGCTCTTATTTTTTTAGTTATATAAGCTCTGTGTGCACAAAAAGTAGCACTTATTAGTGTGCATGGCACTATTTATTGTCCTTCGAACACATTTTTATCAGTTATGTTCTCATGTACATCAGCATTGCATCCGATACTTGAAGGTCATTGTCAATTGAGTTATCAATGCATAAGATATGATAAAAAGAGAGCGTAGGCACCTCAGTTAGGAACTTGTCACTTCAGTTCAGAACTCGCCCTAAACTGAATCCATACTCTAAGTTGTCAAGGCCTGCAGCACGTCCTTCTAATAATCCAGGCTGGTAACAGAAATCATAGAATCATGCCCACAAGTGTCCAAGAAACATTTCTTGGGTTTGCATTTAGCTCAGAAGACCTACAACATTTGTTGTAATAATCACGCCCATATCAGAAAACCTGCCATAACAGTGTCAGAAGGTTTCCAAAATTTTATGTACTGGACTGAAAATCACTCCTACTTTAAACAGGCCTCTGCAATATTAAACTAGGACACAGGGCCTCTAGTGGTTATTATCTAGCACAGAAATGTTACTCAGGCACCTAATGCTTAGGCTGCTGTACTTTTTTTCTACCCGAGATATCACAAAGCCTAAAAAATACAGATAAAACCAAGGAAAAACCATAGCCAGAGTAGCTAAAGTAAAAAGTTGGTTCACTGCATCTCTGCAACAGCTGCGAGAAAGAAGTAAGTAAGTAAATAAATAAAGCCACTCATTCATATTGATGAAAAGTGCTCATTTTGGTCTCAGGTTACTAGTACTCTACATAAATCAGATGTTTCATTCTAAATAATGATGAAATAATGATAATTAAATCATCTACATCAAAGGGAGGAAATCTTGATAAATTACAATAGAAAATATATTCTTTATGTCCGTATTTCAGATAACTCCTCCAGCTTCAGATACTATGTAGGGACACAGAAAAGGACACATTCTTGATGGAAGGTGCTGTATAGTGCCCCTGTACGCTACAATTGCCCCGTATGCATCGGAGGAAGTGAAGAGGGGCCTCCTCACCTATGGTGCATGCCTTACCTTCAACATGCAGGACAGAAAAAGAAGAGGAGGTAGGGCAGGATAAAATGCTGGATTAACATGTAAGCATTACAGGATTTCACCCAAAGTCTCTTGCAATTAGGGCACACTTTCAATTTTCATTTAAAATGAAAGATTATAAAGCTTGCATGCTGGCAAACCAAGTGGAATTGACACAGTGATGTCTGCCAGGATCTGTAAGCAGCCTGAAAACAAGAAATGGACATGAAAACTTTCCTGTTTATTTTCATGGGATACAAACAACCAGTCCATCTAACTGGCTTCTTATGAATACCACGTAAGGGAAGACATACATGTGGCAAGACCGTATTGAATGTGCGTGGCTAGGCCAGCCACCTATTAGCTCTCTGACAAGTGGATAAATATTTGGAACACATATCATTTGGATCTAATGCAATTTATAGGCTCCCATGAAAGTTTTTCTACCTTCAGACAGAAGTATAGCCAGAAATGGGTCTTTTATATGTATTTTGGCCAATATGTGCAGAGGACAGTGACTTCCAAGGAAGAGGTGGAACACGTCAATAACTAATGCTGAAAACTCCTAAGCAAATGTGCTGTTTTGCTGCATTTGTAGTCTTAAAGAATACAGCTGTCATTACACAAACAAAAAGGATGGAAAAATTGTTTTAGGCAACAGAACGAAAGCCTTCTTATTAAGGTAACATGCTTCCGCTTCAGTATTCTACGGTAAATATTGTGCATTAAAATGTCATCTTGGTAACTTTCTTCATGTTAAGGAAATGTAAATAAAAATATATAACATCGTGGAAAGAGATATTGAACGGGACTACATAAGAATCTATACTGGTAATGTACATTAAAAAGAGTGGCTTTGGGTATTATATGACTGGCTGAATCTCCTTCTCAAAACTGAGACATAGTTTTCAGAGATTTAGAGTTACTGAAGGGGCAAAATGTCTTCTTTTTTTTTGTTTTTGTTTGTTTGTTTTTTTAATTTGCTATGTACAAAGAGTTCTGAGGAAGGAAGCTGTTGCAATAGATTTATCCTGATCATCCTAGGCCCAATATAAAATTTCTATACTGTTTCAAAGAGGGTTTGATACTACTAGTAACTAGTGGAAAAAGATCATTGTATATGCAGTTGAGCAGATTAGAATAATGTACCATTCTTTCTACTTCTAAAAAGAAAAGTGTAAGGTAAGTTTAACAAAATAAAAATTATAAAAACGGCACTGATTCTGGTCACGAATTAGTTTTGGCTCTATGTGACCCAGCACACTGACTGTCTCAAACTTCCTACTTCTGTGGGTCCACAGTGGAAATACTGGATAAAAAACAAATAAAATGAAAATCAAAGTCTAATACAGAAATGAACAGTGGGTTTCAATCACTTGTTCTCATTTGTGCAGAGTGTGGGAAGGGGGCAGGGTGAAGACTTCAACTTTGTCTTCCACATTACAGAGAACTGTCCCACATGCCATCCACTATTATGAGAGGAAAAAAGAAAAAAAAAAAGTAGTTTTTATGGCTCCAAAATAGAAATAAAAAAAATCCAGAAGCATTGTACAATTTCCCTTATTTTCTTGCTTAGCACTAAAAGCTGGATGCAGGTGCACCTGGAAGGAGGATAGCTACTGTGGGAGCATCTATTTACAAAATCAACTCTCTTCCTTGGCCTTTTTAAGTCTATTGAGGGTACAATTAGTTACAGTGTAAAAATAAAGTAACGAGCTCTGCTTCAATCCTCAAACTAGAGCCTATTTGTGGTATAGCTCTTGCACTAATTCTCTAAGTAGTGGTGAATTTCATGTTTACCTCATTTGCCAAGAAAAATATTACTCAGATCTCAGGCCCAGATTTCTTCTCAGTTATCTCAGCATCATGCCAGTGTGACCCTCCTGGGGTTATTCCACTAATACAAAACAGACACACCAGCTCCTCCCCCAAGACGCCCTCTCCCCAAATCCCACCCTTTATTTTTTATTTTTGTCACACTCGTACTTTTATATGTACATAAAACCAAACATGTACACACCTCATTGGCATACACTGAGGACTCAGACAAAAGGACATAGGCTATGCTAAACATTGATACATCTAGGGATAATGGACAAAAGAGTAAAAATCAAAGGTATAAATTTATGTTGAATAAAGAATGTCTATCCAACTCAACACAAGATTAATGCTACTACCACTATTTCATTATTTTGGTAAAATACATTACTCTGGCAAAAAACATGATAGGATAATATTGATTTATAATACTGCAACTTTAAAAAACACAAAAACGTAGTTCTGCTCTCAGCTTTGCACTTGATATTGTTGTCAAAGTTTATTGGAAATACATTTATTTTGATTTCTGAAAATCTAGCTGTGTTTAGCCATTTCACAGCTGGTGAGCAGTAAAGATGCTTCTGCCTCATTTACAGATCTTGAACATGAATCAGACAATCAACTGGAACATTAGTCAAAGAGATCACTAGCTAATGATTTCTGACAGGCACCGCAGTAACAGTCTAAGGCCCAGCCTGGCTAGCAGCATCTGACAATATTCTTCTGGAGTCAACAATAGATGTTGGTAGACAGACAATGCAATCGAGTGAGACTACTGGCTTCATACCACTTAGTACCTCTTAAATACTTTCAGAAAAAACACATAGCTCTGACAGTCACTAAATAACCACTTCCATACAGTCCAGTGAAAGTAAAAGACAATGGAACTGTATGCATAGGCATTTTGCAGTTCAGTGAACTCTTTCCCATAGCTCCCCAAGAAATGTGTATTTTAAAATGCCTGAAAAATGCAGT